ATGCCGTAGCGCACGTGCAGCGCCAGCGCGCCGAACTGCATCTCCACGTCGGCGAACCTGCGCGTCCTGCCGTTGACCACGGTGGTGGACTGCGACACGGTCACGTTGATGCCGTTCTCCAGGGCCTTGCGGCCGCTGGTCAGCCGCAGCGTGCCCAGGTCGCTCTCGGGCGTGCTGGTCTTGATGAAGTAGTGCGTGTCCTTGCCCTCGATGGTGAAGTGCAGGTTCTCCAGGTAGAAGGCGTTGTTGAGCACGGCCGCCACCTTGATGCAGTCCTCGTTGGCGATGTTGAGCACGTTGGTCTGCACGCGGCCCTGGCTGACGGCCAGCATGACGCCCTTGCCGATCAGCGACTTGACGGTGGCGAACCACAGCCACGACGGCGCGCCGCCGCCCTTGCGCCGGCTCACCTGGACCTCTGCCATCTTCCCCAGGGACAGGAAGGCCTTGGCCTGCCGCGCCACTTGTTGCTGGACTCCAAAAATGGGCTGTAAAGGGACACAGAAGGGAGACGGGTTAGAGAACAGCTGTGGCTCTGGGTTGGCGGAGCCAGCTGCCTGGCGGCGCGCCCACTCCCCACAGGAAGGGGAAGGGATCTGGAGAGAGCTCCATGGCATTTATTGAAACCTCCGTGGGTTCTTTCGAGATGAAAAGGCTTAAAAAAACCCCTGCGTGGAGGAATGCACGCAAGATGCACACCCCTCAAGCTGATCCAAATGTGTTTGGAAAGGCAGGAAGAGCTAACGCCATCGCGTATTCAGAGCTTTTTAGTTTCTAACGTGGGCAAAATGTTCATGTGTTAGCTTTTCTCTTTCAATTTCTAGATGCCCGTTTCCTGCGTCCCTCCCATTTGGGGCACCCAGCTTAGCAGGTCCGTCATCCCAGCAGCTTTGTCCCCGGGAGGCTGAGGAGCAAGCAGCAAACACAGGATGTGCAAGGCTGGGGTGTTCAGGGCGGCTCACTGCGTCCCAGTTCACATGCTTTAACCTGTAGACTCTGTACCCTCTCCCAGCGAACACGATTTCAATAGAATGTCATCAGTGAAACTGCAGAACTGAACGTACAAGGATGAGTGCGCTGTGGGACAGCTGGGGATGAGGATTTATTACTCTGGGAAAACATTTATTTTTTGGAGACTTAGGGACAGGGCACACGCTACACTGGCAAACGACTTATTTTATTTTTTAAAAAAATATATTTTGATTTTTTTACAGAAAGGAAGGGAGAGGGATAGAGAGAAACATAGATCAGCTGCCTCCTGCACACCCCCTACTGGGGATGTGCCTGCAAACCAAGGTACATGCCCTTGACCGGAATCGAACCTGGGACCCTTCAGTCCGCAGGCCGACGCTCTACCCACTGAGCCAAACCAGTCAGGGCCTGGCAAATGATATAAACCAGAGGGCATCTTAACTCAGCCATTTCTTGTACTACCAGATGTCTGTCTGGCCAGTGTTCCCCAAATGGAAACATCTGTTTTATTTGCAGCCGTGAAAGAAACATTTGTTCTCCCCGCACTTGGGGCGGCCTCCACGTCTTTGCCGGAGATTCCCTAAGCTGTCCTTATGGTGCGTGTCTCTTGACAGAGAACCCGAACCGTATTTAAAAGGCTGCCTTGGAAAAGAAGTTGGCAATTCCATTTGTACCGTCAGACGTAAGTGTTTTCAGACATGCTGGGGAGTCGCACACAATTAGGACACGCTTGTTTAATGCACCAGGAAACTGCAGTATGTCTGCATGGCACCGTGGTCAGCGTGGATGCATTTGCAAATAGAAATGTTAAAATGGCCCCCGGCCCTGGACACCGATGGGTTTTTGCTTTTTTAAATGTGAAGATGACACCTGAAAAAGGGAATTGCTTTTATGTTATGAAACTTGTACCGGGAAACAGAGGTATTGACGCTGTATGTGTGTGTGTGTTTTAGCCACAGTTGCCTTTCCTCTTTGTAGTCATTGAAATTATAGGAAATTGCTCGAGGGGCGGAGGGATGAGTCTTTCTAAGAATCTGCACTCCCGTTTAATTGTTACGAGGTAGCCCAATTTCTTGATCTTTACTTATTCTTGCTTTAAGCTAGAATTCTGTTGCTTTGTTGTGCATTCCTTTCTGATCTTTGAATGGTGGGAATTGAAAGTAGCATTTTCTGAAATGGCAGCTTTGACTTTGCCATTTTCCATTCTCCCCACCCCCCCCCTTTTATTTCTCAGAACAGTTACAGGCCTCCTGATCTGTTATTGCCAGGAAAATCCCATAAACACCGAGTTGTAGGGGGAGCCTTGCGTTTTCTTTTTTATTTTTAATCGTCTCCCATGAAACACAGTTGCTATTTTTTAAAAGGTGACCTTTGTGGCATTGTTTGTGGGCTGCTAATTTGGAATAGGGATCGCCTGCCCTCCTGTTTACTGTGTCTTTGCCTTAAGGTCCCAAGGGCCATAAATGTGCTTTCATGGGCTTCTCTGGAGAAACCCTGCAGTTTATTACCTTTTGCTAATGTCTTTCTGCGTTTTTATTAGCATCACTAAAAACAGATTTAAGCCCGTTTCATGGGCCCCTAGTTTACTGAGCAGAAATGTTATTTTTTTTCTTCCCTCAACGAGTCAAAAAATTAAAAACTGATTTTGGTACAGGTTTCACCAGCACAGTTTGACTGAATACGGGTACACAGGACACGCGTAAGCCATTTATCACCCTTCCCTAGTTTCGCCTTTCGGTTCTTACCGGGACATCGTCCCACTGCTGACTCTTCACCAGTTCGTAGGAAGGCTCCGTCAGGTCAAACTTGGGGACGGGGAACCCAGGGATCGCGTTGTGCAGGTGGAAGCCAAAGGTCACCAGCCAGCTGTTAACATCTGGGAGGAGGACGTTGCAAAGGACAGGGGTTAGGGTTTATGCTGTGCTTTCAGAACTTTAAACTCTTACCTGAGAGAAAGGCCCGGATTCACAAAGAACAACCAGGGAAAGAGCACACGTGTACCGTGACCCCACAATTCAAAACCAGCTCCCCACTTTCGGACGCAAAGACAATCACCCCAGCAGGGGCCGTAGGAAACGTGGAGTCACAGACACGCACTGGGACAGACGGAATACGCGGCCCCGTGCGCCGGCTGCCGCCTGTGTTGGTAATCGGGCCGAAACCAGGCAGGAACAGGGCGCAGCAGCGGGGAGAGCCAGGGTTGTTGGAAACGAATGGAATGTGTAGTGTGGTCAGCAAAGGCTGGTCTTAAAGACAAGCTGTGTGTCACTGTCTTTCAAAAGGCATGGCCCACGGATATGCAGCTGCCCGCAACCCATTTTCTAGGAATAAAAGCCCTAGGCTGAGAGAGTGGAAAACAACAGTAGATGCTTAATCAGAGACGAATGCGGAAAGCTGGCCCGGGGCGCACACTGCTGCTCACCCTCAGCTAGGCCTTCAGAGGCGCGCTCTGCACCGTGGAAACACACTTTTTGGGGAGAAAACCTGGAAACCTTTCAGATGGTCTTTTAAAATATTTGCCTGTGACTCCGAAAGCCAGTAAGCTCCAAAGAAGGCTTCTCTTCTCTTGGGAGGTTATGCTCTTGCAGAAGTGCTCAACGGGCGTGCGGCTCTGGGACTCTGCTTGGGTGGCGATGATTCTATATGTTAAGCTGGGAAGTGGGAAATTGCATTTCACCTAACAGAGTGTATGCCAGCCCATCTCTCTTTTGATGTTTTTAAGAAAATGCTGCTGTGGCATTCCCTGCAGTCCACATTGCTAGGAGCGGAGGAAATCGGGAGTGTGGCGTCCCCGCCTTCCAGTCAGCCCCTGTCAGCACCTCACAAAGAGCCCGGGGTTAACTGCCCGTCACCATGATGGAGTCGCTTGCTTCCTATCTCCTTCTCTAGGGCACCAACTCTCACCCCATTGTCAGGCCGGCCGGCTCCTTGTCCAGGTATCATATGGCTCTAAAGTCAGCGGTATTCTCCCTCTTTTAAATGGGGGTTGGGGTGGTGGGAGAGATAAACCCAAGTTCACCATGTAGGACAGAAAGTGGTATCAATCTTTCTATCTATCATCTATCTTGTATTTAGAGAAAATCCCTTCTCATGATTGGTGGAGTACTGGAGGTAAGGACTCTCCTACTTACAACCAATGTCTGTGTAACAGTGAGAGCCAGAGGGTCTTCAGTGTTGAAAAGCACTGCCAACATAATGGGACATGGCTGTGGAGGTAGACTGAAGAGCCCTGAAGGAGGCACCACGAGGGCGTGGCTGAATTAGGACACAGAGTGAAGGGGCTTTCAGCGGGTCCACATGGCAGAGAGCTAGGGACAGCGTTAGGAATGCGGGGAAAGCAGGAGGCAGATGGAGAGTGAACAGGGGGCAGCGTTTGGAGAGCCGTCCTGAGAACTGAGAAAACGGACATCTCAGTACACTGGAAATGCTGAGCAAGAAAACGACAGGCTGAAGGAGCATCTATCTAACACAAGCAAAGGCAACACAGAAAACCCCCAAACGAAACCACAAAGCAGGGAACCTTAACTGTGGAGTGCAGCTCAGGAGTGAACGCTGGAGGCAGAAGGATTCAGGGTCCTTGGAGTGGAGGAGGAGTGAAGAAGTCAGCTATTTAAGGGAACTGGGCGTGCTTGCTGGGTCCCTGTCTCTGTTACCTGGTGGCAGAAGTGGGATCTGATGCTTTCAATTGCATCACGCACTAACCTTGGGAAGATCTTAAATCTATGCCCTGAAGATCAGTGTATCTATTAGTAGTCCCAGGACTGTACCACATGGTAATGAAGGTGGTAGTATAAGGGGACAGAAGCGAGGACAGACACAGTGTCCCCTGGCTAAGCAACTGATGGGAGAAACGGTTCCTCTGTTGTCCTGAGGTGATGGTGGTGGACATTTAGTCCAACTCCTCCCAGGGATGGGATGCTGAGCCACACTGTGCTGTATTTCACACCCATCCTTTCCACTAGAATTGACACGACTTGTCTACAAAGCCACACAGCTGGTAGGAGAGGGGGAGGGACTGGAACCCCGAGTTCCATGGTGCCTGCATCTCCAGGTCACTTCCCTTCAGTGACTGGATTCCATGTCATTTCAGAAAATCGTGGCCTTGGGCACTGGCAGGCAGAACAGAAGTAACAAACTATGTCTCGGTTTCCCTTTTTGGTTTCTCTATGGTTCCACAGAGAAATAAATACATTTAAGAGGTGAGGCATTTGATTTTGCATGAGTAAAGTATAAAGTTAAAAAGAAAGCAACTCCAATTATTTTATGCATTAACCCAAGGATTAAAGTAATTCCGTACCCGGCAAGGAAGTAAGATGTTGCTCACCTGTGATGTAGTCTTTCACGTCATGGATTTTGCTTGCAGGATTGTTATTCCTGAACATGTACAGGTTGAAAGGAGCCGGGTCCCTCCCGATTCTCCTCCAGATTTCTATGTCAGGCGTCGTCCACCGTCCTGCCAAAATGTCGTAATCCCTTTCTCCGAAGTGGATCAGTTTTGTGAGTGGGTCATACAGGCCACCGTGAAACCCAATGACCAGCTGGAAGTCAATATTCCCTTCAGTGACTGGATTCCATGTCATTTCAGAAAAATCGTGGCCTTGGGCACTGGCAGGCAGAACAGAAGTAACAAACTATGTCTCGGTTTCCCTTTTTGGTTTCTCTATGGTTCCACAGAGAAATAAATGCATTTAAGAGGCGAGGCATTTGATTTTGCATGAGTAAAGTATAAAGTTAAAAAGAAAGCAACTCCAATTATTTTATGCATTAACCCAAGGATTAAAGTAATTCCGTACCCGGCAAGGAAGTAAGATGCTGCTCACCTGTGATGTAGTCTTTCACGTCATGGATTTTGCTTGCAGGATTGTTATTCCTGAACATGTACAGGTTGAAAGGAGCCGGGTCCCTCCCGATTCTCCTCCAGATTTCTATGTCAGGCGTCGTCCACCGTCCTGCCAAAATGTCGTAATCCCTTTCTCCGAAGTGGATCAGTTTTGTGAGTGGGTCATACAGGCCACCGTGAAACCCAATGACCAGCTGGAAGTCAATATTGGAGTCGAAGTAGATTTCGCCGTAGGCGGTGTACTGGATCTGCTTGAGCATGAGCCCGTTGCTACTGAAAACAGCCAGCGGCGTCCCGGTGTTGTCCGAGGCGATGTAGAACTCATCCCCGCTGCTGATTTCCATGGCAAACAGATGTCCCTGGAGATCGTAATAGAGGGAGGTGATCTCTGAGCTCGAGTGGTTGTAGACGTGCGTGATCCTCGTGGGGTAGATGAGGTCGGCGTAGAAAAACTGCAGGTGCTGCCCCAGGCTGGTTTTGCTGGAAACGCGCCTTCCCAGGCCGTCGTACCGATAGATGACGGTCCAGCCGCTGCCTTTGCTGTAAACCCGCGTGAGGAGCCCCTTGGAGCTGTACTCGAAGATCTCCGTGCCTCTCTGCCGCAGGAAGCCGTCTTCATCCAGCCGGTACTGGACGTCCCCCAGGCGGGTGATCCTGTCTCGCAGGTCGTAGCGGAGCGGGGTCAAGCGCGCGCTGTTGCTGGGGTTCAGCAGGTGGAGGTTCCCGTTCAGGTCGTAGTTGTAGCGCCACATGATCTTCTCGTTGAGATACACGGTCTGCAGCTGGCCGTCCACGTCGTACTCGTAGGCGTACTTGGTGGTGTTGGCGAAGGGCCCGATTTTGATCTCTCTCTTGGTGACCCGGCCCATGTTGTCGTACTGGATGGTGATCCAGTACATGAGGGACCGGAAGATCTCGTACTGAATCTCCTTGATGCGGCCGTGGGCGTCGAAGTGCTTCGTGTACGTCATCACGGCCGTGGAGATGATCTGGTTGATGTCGTAGTAGATGACGCCGAACTTCCCAAACTGCTCGACTTTGCCGGAAATGTCATCGAACTGGTAGAGGTCGATGGGCAGCGGCGTCTCGTTGATGACCCCCTGCATGCTGGTCACGCGGAAGCTGTTGTCGTAGCTGTAGTCGAAGCGCGCGTTGACCATCCCGTCCTCGCTGAAGCGGAAGATCTGCCTGTCGATCAGGGGGCCGATCTGCCGGTACCGGATGGTGCAGATGAAGCCGTCGCTCTGCAGGTTCACCGTCTTCAGGACGCCCGCCGCCTCGTCGTAGGTGAAGCTGACCCGCGTGCTGTCGTACAGGATCTCTGAGAGCCGGGTCTGCCTGCGGTACTTGAACAGGACCCGCCGGCTGGTGCCCAGGAAGGCCGTCTGCAGCAGCAGCCCCTCCTCGTTGTAGTCGGTGATGACCGAGGCGTTGCTCTCCGGCGGGTTGTAGATGTTGCGGTAGTAGCCGATGGAGCGGATGGTCTGCATGGTGTGGCGCGCCACGCTGGGCATGGTGATGGCCGACAGCCGGTCCCACAGGTCGTATTCGAAGATGTACTGGCGCTGGCTGTGCAGCAGGAGCACCATGGACTGCAACGAGAGGACACACCGTTACCCGGCGCTGTGAACGGGGAAGCAGAAGCAAGGCTTAGCGACCACGGACACGCAGAAACATGCCACCCGGGAAATTGATTTTTTTTAAAGTATATTTTTATTGATTTCAGAGAGGAAGGGAGAGAGATGAAAACATCAGTGATAAGAGGGAATCACCAATCAGCTGCCTTCTGTACGCTCCCCACTGGGGATCGAGCCCACAACCCGGGCATGTGTCCTGACCGGGAATCGAACCATGACCTCCTGGTTCATAGGTCGACATTCAACCATTGAGCCACGCCGGCCGGGCTGATTTTCATTTTAATTGAGTTACCCTTGACCTTGTACATTGCTAAGGATTCCCTGCCTACTTTGCTTGGGTGCTTAATCGTGAGGGGGCGGGGGGTTCTGCAATCAGCGGCTCAAGATTCATAGTGTGCCACGTGTCAGGATGCACGCTTCCTCCCAAGGCACGCCCACCGAGCGGCAGGCTGTCGATGGGCCTGGGTAAATCGGAATGCAGGCCTGGGCCCAGCTGCCTCGGAGACACCATTTGCAGGTGCAAACAGCATCTGGGAAAGGCAGTGCTGTCCACCATGAGCAGTTAATTCAGGAGGGCGGCTCCCCCCTCATTTGACTGAAGAGCCACTCAAATCATGTTTCAATTTCCAGTGGGTGTGGGGGCGGAGCAACACCTTCAGAATATCGTTTTATGAAGAAGAGAGGTAAAATGAGCCCCAAATGGATAATGCGTCCGTAAAGCATCGATGTCAGCAAACATTGCTAACGTAAGCACAGGCATGTGTCCTGACCGGGAATCGAACCATGACCTCCTGGTTCATAGGTCGACATTCAACCATTGAGCCACGCCGGCCGGGCTGATTTTCATTTTAATTGAGTTACCCTTGACCTTGTACATTGCTAAGGATTCCCTGCCTACTTTGCTTGGGTGCTTAATCGTGAGGGGGCGGGGGGTTCTGCAATCAGCGGCTCAAGATTCATAGTGTGCCACGTGTCAGGATGCACGCTTCCTCCCAAGGCACGCCCACCGAGCGGCAGGCTGTCGATGGGCCTGGGTAAATCGGAATGCAGGCCTGGGGCCAGCTGCCTCGGAGACACCATTTGCAGGTGCAAACAGCATCTGGGAAAGGCAGTGCTGTCCACCATGAGCAGTTAATTCAGGAGGGCGGCTCCCCCCTCATTTGACTGAAGAGCCACTCAAATCATGTTTCAATTTCCAGTGGGTGTGGGGGCGGAGCAACACCTTCAGAATATCGTTTTATGAAGAAGAGAGGTAAAATGAGCCCCAAATGGATAATGTGTCCGTAAAGCATCGGTGTCAGCAAACATTGCTAACGTAAGCACATGGCGAGTGAGCACTACCAACTCACTTCACAGACACACGGACCCGGATGTGGGTTTTGCTCGTTTGTCTGCAGACTCTTGCGTGGCATCTGTAGCCGCAATGCCATCTACACGCTGCAGTCGCCCCTGAGCGCGCCAATCTCTCCCGGACCTCAGGGGCCATGAAAGGTTTCTGGGCTACACACTGCTTCAGTGTTAAATTACGAAGTGAGTAAATGTATCCCTAAACATTAGCTTTGCTTATTTAGCAGGTAACCGCAGGAAGACAAAAGGCACGCATCTGCTGGGCCAGAGGCGTTGGCTGGATAAGTGATGGGTGATCGTCACACCGCAGGGCGGCTTTTCCCCCAGGAAGCCTCCTTGCACCCGTGAGACCAGCGGCAAGGTTGCGGAGCCGGAGGTGCCGAGGGGTTAGCACTGAGATGAACAATCCCTGCCCACCACCTCCAGAAGCAGCCCGTCTCTGTGACCAGCCTCTGTAGCACCTCCATGGGCAGGTCTGGGGGTCCTTAGTCCACAGGCTGAGCCGTCCATGTTGCGAGCGTGGTTCCGATGGTTTGCATTCCTCAGGGCGCTCGGACTGTTGCGCCGGAATCAGTGCGTAGTTTTACGGTCCCTCAGAATCACCTCGGACGGCAGGTGGCGGAATGTTACTTGTTTTGCTCTGATGAAGGCTTGGCTGAGTGTGCCTGTCCTGGCAGGAAATGGAGCCGGTCTGGGCGGACGTGAGGGACTTTGGAGAGATGATGAGCAAGTCCCGGCTGGCTTCCTGACGCCCGCGGATGCGTCACGGTGACCTCGGTGACGCTGCTGTCATGGTCAGTGACGTGCTCCCAGGCTGCCCGTCCGCGTTCCCGTTACCTCGGGATCACTCTCATCAGGGTTGGGGTTTGGGCACTCGTGTCTGATGGGAAGGGTGTTCCAGGATGAAGCCATGTTCCCCAGGGAGACGTGTCCCAGGCGGGTGGGCGGGGGGTGAAATGCTTTCCAGGGTCAGGATTTGTTCCCGGCAGGCAGGTGTGTGGAGGCTTACTCTGTAGTTCCTCAACAGCCAACCAATAGCGTGACTGCGTGCAGGGGGGCGGCTGGTGTGGAGGGAAGCCCTCATCTCAGGGCGCATGTGGGTAGGTTTGCCAGAGGTGAGGTTGGCAGGCAGGGCCCTCGCTGGGGTGTCCAGGGTTGGGGTGGCTGCAGGGCAGGGGTGGGG